TCATTTCCTTAAAAAAAAAATTCTTTTTTTTTTTTTTTTTTTTTTTTTTTATTTTATTTATTTATTTATTCGTTACAAATATTTTTCTAACTGATTTTTTTAATCAATTTTTTTTCCTGACGATCTTTGCATTTTTTTATCAAATATTATTCCTGAAAACCATTCTACTTTTTTTTTAAAAGAAAAGTACAAACTAAAAAAAAATCCTCAATTTTTTTTTTTGTGAGTGTGCATGACTGATTTATTAACTGGGTTTTCAGTGACTTTACTGGAGTACTGAACAAACCAATTAATAAAGAGCATGTAGAGGTGTCTCTACGATTTTGTTGTATTTATATGTATTTTATATGATTTGAACGAGTAACTCTTTACTATATGCTCTACTTCGTTCAACATTCTTTACTTTCAATAGGCATTTATTTACTTTAATAAAAATCCTTATTTTATTAAAAATTCAAATCCTTATTGAATATTGACTAATAATTAAATGTAACTTAATTATCTTTTTGTTGTAAGTTATATTCAGCAATTTACATATATTGTTGTTGAATTAACAAACATAAACAATTATTAAAAATGCAAATAAATTATATGAATATTAATTACGTGAAAAAATTATCTACATATGTATAAAATTTTCTCTCATAAATTCAAAATATAAATATTATGCAAATTAAACGCTTTACAAAAACATTTTTATCTTTTGTAAAAAAAATCTCTCTTCTTTTCCCCCCCCAAAAAAAAATTGAATCTTTTTATTTTTTTTTTTTATTTTTATCTTTATCTTTTTCAAAAGAAACATTTATCAAAAAAAAAATTCCAATAATTTTTTTTTTAGTTAGCACAACTATGTATTCTCCACATAGCTAGTCCTTTTATAGCCAAAAAGGTTAATGAAGCCTTTTATTAACCAATGACCAACTTGGTATTCTTATTTAACTAATCCTTTTATTTTCCAAAAAGGTTAATAAAGCCTTTTATTAACCAATAATGTAGATATCTTATTTATTAATTGTACCTACAATGACTTTGCTAAAATATTGAACAAACAGATTAATAAATAGTATGTAAAATTTCCTCTACTCATTTAATAGATTTATGTATAATCTTAATGCTATAAACCAGTAAACTGTTATATATATATAGTCTACTTCATTGAGCATTTATTTACTTTAATATGAGTCTTAATTTTTTATTAGAAATTTACAATCAAATTATCAATTTTGATGACATATATTTTATTTATAATATCATCAGTAATGTTTTGCAATTAAAATACATTCCTCTCAAATTAGAAGACATAAATAATTAAAATATAAAATGAATTATATAAATTCTACAAAACATGAAAATCTTATTATTGTTAATTTAAAATTTTCTTATATAAATTTAAAACAGAATATGTTACAAGTAACTTTTTAGTCAGAAACTCTATATTTCAATTTTTTTTTAGACAACTGCATTATTTTAAAAAAAAAGAATAAATATGTTTTTTTATGTATTTAAATTTAGCAGAAAGAAAAAGAAAAAAGATTAATTTTTTTTTTTTTTATCTAGCGCTTGCATGGCTATTTATTTTCCATATAGGTGTTACTTTTTATTCTCAAAAATGTTATTAATATATTTTATTAACCACTTGTATATCAAGAAAAATTAATTTTAGTATGTAATTATATATCTTTTATATAACTATCAATTTATAATAAAGTGAACCCATTTTTTTATATCTCATAGTTTTTATAAACTATATTAAAAAAATTATCACAATATTCTCCATAAAAAAAGAAGTAAAAAAAAATTATTTCTTTTTTTTTAAAATAAGACAAAATTAAATTCTTTTTTAAAAAATTGTTATTAATATCATATATATTTTTTAAACATACCTATACTACATTTCAGAAGGTGTGTATTTTCTAGTTAACTACTTTGTGGTTATTTTGAGCATACAAAACACTGTTGTACGTATATTCATATATATCCTTATATATGTCTTTTAATTATCATGCATTCAAAGGAAATGCTTTAAAATAATTCCCTGTCATTATGTAAATTTTCCAAAATGTCATTGAAATCTTGTATCACTAGGAAAAAATATGTATAAAAAAAAAAAAAGTTATTTTTTTTTTTATTTTTAGTTTAATTTTTTTTTTTGGAAAAATTTTGGATTATTAAAAAAATTATACATTTTTGAGAATAAAATTTTTATTATGAAAAAATAAGTCACGTAAATTTAGTCTTACTTCAATTTTTACCTTTTTTACTAATCTAAAATCAATGAAAATAAATTAATAAATAGTTATTCATAAAATTACTATTAAATATTTTTTCTTAGAAGTCAGTAATTAAGGATTATTTATATTTTTAATAAAAATGAGGTAATTTTTATTAAAGCTAATGAATTCCCCTTAATGCAATAAATATTCAACGACATAAACTATAAATATAAAAGTTTACTTATATGTGCGGTCAATATAATTTTTACACTAGTTAAATTATTGAACATTCTCTTTATTAATTTATTTAATAATTATTCTAGAGAAGTGGACGGAAAATCAAAAATTGAAATGTGAATAACGTAACATATTTGTTAATTTTTTAAAATTTTATTTCAGTAATTCTCTTCTGTTTAATATTTATTTATTTAATGAATATTATTTCTTTTTTAATTTTTTTTTCTTTTTAATTACATCAGTATTTTATTTAAATTCAATTGTATTTATACAATCCTTCTTTTTTCTCATTATTTTTTTTTAATGTTTATCAAGTTACAAAAAAAAATAAATATATATATAGAATATTCATGTAGAATTAATCAAATTGTGTTTTTGATTCATTTTTATATCGTAACTCTTATTTATATTTTAACTATTATAATTCTACAAATATTAAATAAAATAAGTTATTTATAGTATTATTTTAATGTAATATGTTAAATTATTTCTGTTAATACACCAATAACATCATTATTATATATACATATTTTATCTGTTAAATGTTCAAAATTTTATATGTTTATTAATAAAATATATTATTTTCCTTTTATGAAATAATAGCTACTAATACAAAAAACTGAGAGTTAAACATACGAATTCTTCAGTTATCAAAAAAAAAAAAAAAAAAAATTATTGCTTTTTTTTAAATATCTTTTCAATTTGTTCTAGATAGTTATATATTTTTTCTTTTTTTGAATTATGATAAAAAATTATATTTAATTAATTTAATTTTAAATTCAATGAATAATTCAATTGAAATTTCGAAAGAAAATTAAAAAGTATTTTGTTTTTATTATTATATAATTTTTATGTGGTTTTGAATACTGTTAATATCTTCAATGTAAAATTATTAGTTTATTTTAAAGGATTATTTTACCTACAATCAATATTTTTAGAAATAATTTATGTTTTTAATAAGGATAAATTTTTATTAAAGTAAATAAATAACTTCAAAAAAAAAGAAATATCTAATTATTTAAACAATATATATAAGGTATATACATTTGTAGTATGAATATAATTTTGTAATATCTAAAATTAATATATCGTGCTGCATGCTCTGTATTAACTTGTTTTCTCATTATTAAAGAGAAACTATTGGTCACTTTACTAATAAATCAACTAATAGCGGACATCAGAATAAATTTAGGTATAATTTGTTAATTGATATAATTTCTTATAATTCTTAAAATTTAATAATTTTTCATAATAGGATAAATATATCTTTTTTTTTCTTAATGATTTAAAATAAATCCCAAATTTTTGTTTTATTATTATTTTTTTTTTTTATATACTTTAATAAAAATTATAATTAATGCAGAAATTTTATATTTTAAAATTCTTTTAAATATTTATATTTTTTACTAGTATTTTTATAGAAATAAAATACATATAATTTTATTAATATACATGTTCCGGTAAACTGTACAATTACCTCAACAAGTAAGATATGCGCTATCATGTTTATTTCTTATTTCATAATTGATATATATGTATTATTCATTATTTTAAAGGCAATTATTGCTTTTCTTTTTTATTAAATTAGTAACAATATGTAATAATGGAAATACATGCATATAAATTTTTAAATATTCTATTTAATTATTAAAGTTCAATGGTTATCTCTAAGTATTTTCATTCAATGGATGAGGTAAAAGTTTCATTAAATTGTCATTTTTTATTACAAAATATATTTTTTTCATTAGATACAACCATAAATATCTTTTTATTGAATTTTTTTTAATTATATAAAATAGTATTTTTATAAATTGAATCTATTTTTATTTATCTTTTCTTTTTATTTTAATTTTTACTTTCATAAAATTTATCATTCGATTTCAAATGTATTAATACAGTAAAATGAATAAAATTTAATTTTAAATTATTTTTTTAATGATCTTTTAATTAGAATGCTGCTAATTTTTAAAATTAACATTATAACAAAATCATAATTAATTGTATATTAAATATAGTAAATACATTAAATAACATAGAAATCTCTAAAGAACTTATATTATTTGTATTTCTTTTTTCACTACTATAGTACCCATAAGATATATTAACTAATTTTATTATTGATTTAATACTATTATCTATTTTTTTTTTTTATTAACGATTTAAATAATTGTAATATTTATTATTTTTTTTTTTTTTACGACATAAAGTATATTTTTCTTTTTATAAAAAATTAGTTTCTAATTTAATTCATTATAGAACATGGTTAAAACTAAAAGTTTATATAATGGGATGTTTTGTGAATTAAACATTAGTATAACTATTTTAAATATTTTTTTTTGCTTTACATGCATAGGAATCTTGTATAATATATACTATAAATTATTTATCTAAAATATTAAAAAAAAATTATTCATTGAATAGATAAATTATTTTGTATTTTAAAATTATTTACTAACAAATTATAGATATTTATTAGTAAATTTAAATTTTTAAATATTTATAATTTTTAATTTAATTATTCAATATGAAAGATTTGATGATTTATATTTAATGCTTAATTTGTTTTTGTTAAATATTAATTTGTCATGTATAGATATTTTAAATCGAAAATAGTATAATTAAAAAATATATATTTTTATTTTTTATCTTTTTCATTGTTTCTTTTTTCTTCATATTATTTGAGAACTATTTTAACTTATATATTTGAAAAAATTGCAAGTATAATCTATAGGATTTCTATAGTTTTTAATTATATGTTACATTGAACAACGTATTAAGAACTATTCGATAATATTAGTAATTATTTTATATTCAAAAAATTTGTTTAATAATAATAGAATATATTTTTTTACAACATATCATTAGAATTACTTGAAATAATACGGTAAATTTTAATGGTATAAATAATTATAAATCAAATGATATTTTTTTGTAAATTTTACTAAATTCAGAGTTAATGGAATATTCAAAAATAATAAAAATAAAAATATATTATTTCCCAATGATGATTATCTATATTTATTTTTTAATTTGTATATTCCAATATTTTTACAGTATAAAGTAATAATCATCATAAAAAATATATTTATATCTTATATTTTTGAAAATTTGCATTATTGTATAAAAACTAATTTTTATAATTTTAATTTTTTAATGTAATTCCACTTCATAGTTTTGAAATTGGAAAAAATAACCTAAAAACAGAATTATGTCTCATACGTGGAAGAATTCTAGCAGAAGAGCAACAAATAAAAAGAAGTAGAGGAGTAAGATCAGCCAATTCAATTGAAAATATCTTTAAAATTTGGTTAGAGTCTATTGAAGGAGAATTTTTTGATGAACTAGATAAATTAACTAAAAATTTTACAGCTAAGAATGCTCAGGATTTTTTAGATTGGATGCATAAAAAAGGTGGGATTATTACAAAAACATTAAATTTATCACCAGGTCCTGATGAAAAGAGTTTTTTAAATAATACCTTGGCTTCATGGGAAAAACTTACAGAAGAAACTCTATTAAATTCCATAAAAGATTCACTTCTCCACAGAATGTTAAGTCCAGAAAATGTAACAACAAATAATAATGGTTCATCAATTACATCTGCATCATCTAACCCTACATCATCTAATTCTACTTCATCACCCACACCTACTCAATTATATGGCTTAACTACATCGTCCATATATACCTCATCAGTTGAATCAACTGTATCTCCTACAACTGCTTTGCCATCCTCAAGTGATTTATCACCTACAACTTCATCTGGTTCTCATATTAATTCTACTACCTCTTCTACAAATGATACAAGTGATTTACCTACTGTTCTTCCTACAAGTGGAATGAATAATTCTACTACTATTATGAATAATTCAACCGCATTAATCCCTCCACAACATGGTGGTGGCTTAACTAGTACAGCATGCGTAGGATTATATTGTGCACCAGCTTTTGCTGCTCTTCCTGTTTCTCTTGCTCTTCTTGGGGGAGTTTTAGTTTTTGTTCTTCTTTATAAGGTGAGACGAAGTTATTTATACAAAAACATATATATAAATTTTTTTTCTTTTGAAACCATTTGATTAAATTAAAATTACACTCATTAAAAATAATTTTTTAATTTACAATATAGTATACTCCTGTTGGCAAATTTCTTGGAAGAGATAATCCAAAAAAAAAAAAAGCAAAAAAAAGATTGAATGAAATACCTATGGAAAGAATAAATTCTCCTAAATTATTAAAAGAAGAAAAAACGGAAAACGTAAAGAGAAGTAGATTAGATAGTTTTCTTCGTGCGTTTGGTTACAACAAGAAATTTCCCTATATAGATGAAGATGTAACCTCAGATCAATTAATATAATGGCAAAATTTTTACCAAGGAGAAATTCTAATATGGATAATTAAATAACAGATAAACAATATAATATTAAATTAACATAAATAAATTTCTTTTGGGTTTAATATATGATGTTTTTCTAATAATATTATATTAATGCTAAGGAAAATATATTTTTTTTTTGCTAGCTACTTATTTTTATTTTTTGTTATATATAAAAAAGTGTAAATATGAAGAAGAGATGTATTGTTTCTTTTATGAAATAAAAATTTACTTGATTACTGATTTGTTATTTTCTATGTTTAACACTTTTATAAAGCATAGGATGACTAATTTCGTAAAAAGTACGTAAAATAATATATGTTATGCTTTTTAAAGCAATTATTTCTATAATAGTAAAAAGAGAATATATTCTGTTTAAATATTTAACTACCAAAAATTTGAAATATTTAATACATAGTACTAATATAAGATATAGCAAGCATTTTATACAAGTTAACTGGTAAATTAACTTTTCTATTTATTCTCAATTGTTCAAAGACATTGCTAGAATGTTAAGAAAATGAATTAATAAAGATAATGTAAAATATTATAAGTTACACTTTTTAATATTATTAATACTCCTGTTTTAAATTAAAAAAATAATTTTTTAGTACTTAATATTTATATATTACGTAATAAGCATTTTCATAAGCATACAAGAATAAAATAAATAGAAATAATATGACAAAATATTTTTATTCTTTCCAGTGTTTCATTTATCTTTTTGTGCAAAAAAAAATTATGAGTAATCATATACAAATAAATTATATATAAAAAAATATTTATTCTTAACTTGAAAAATCTTGCAAATTAAAATCAATTCAATTTAAATATGTCCTGATCTTCTAAAATTTTTAGAGAGTTTCGATTTATATCTATTTTTAGTCCTCTAAGTTATGAAACATTCCATCTTGTATGTGATTTATTAATTTCCTATTAACAAACTTCTATAAATTATTTAACACACAAATTAATAAAGAGCATGCAGAATAGTGTCCATTAATTTTGTCTATTATCACATATTTTTCCTATAAATAAGAAAGCATTATATAAATTAATTACATCGTATGAATAATTAAATTATTTAACCTTATAATTCTTTAAATGAAGTATGTTTATCTAATATTTTATTTATTTTTATATATCTAATTAATTTATAAGATATTTAAAAAAATTAATAAAAAGAGCACTTATTTACATTAGATATTAAATATTTAGTATAAATATAAAATTTTGAAACAAATATATAAATAATTCTAAAACAATTAATTATTTTTCATGAATTTTCTTTTTTTCATTTAGAAATAATAAAAAAAATTCTTGCTTTGAATTGGAGTAATCTTTGAAAAATATATTAATAATTTTAACGAAAAATTATTATTTTATATAAAATAATTTTTTTTCAAATAATTAAAGGATTTTATAAAGGATATTTATGTTCAAATGAAAATAAAGAGAATCTTTGACTAAATTAGTGCTTTATTAATTGCTTATTCAATGGTTTTGTCATTTATTATCTGCCTCCTCAATGATTTTGTATAGGTATTGAAGAAACAAATTAATAAAGAGTATGTAGAGTTACCTCTACTAATTTAATTAATTTAAGTATAATTTTAATGCTATAAGCCAATAAACTGATTTTATATATTACCTACTTCATTGAACATTAATTGTTTTTTTAAGAGGCATTTATTTACTTTAATAAAAATGCTCATTTTTATTAAAAATTTATATTCAAACTGAACACGATTCCTAATTAAATATATTTCTACATATTGTGTTATGAACAATATTTAGCAACTTAAGTCCGCTGCTTTTATATTAACAAACATATGTAATTGATTAAATGCATATTAAATTATGGAAACATTACAAATATGAAAATTTTATTATAGTTAATATAAAATTTTCACTTAAAAATTTAAAATAAAAATTCAATACATAAGAAAAATCTTCATTCTGTAAATTACTTTTTATATTTTTCAACAAACTTTTTTCATCCTTCTATCTCTTTTTTTTCCAAAAAGATATATATAACTCTTTTATATATTTAATTTATAAAATCAAAAAAAAAAAAATAATTATCATCTAATTTTTTTTCTTTTTTTTATAATTAACACTTGTATAGATAACTATTTATTTTTTATATAACTAGTTATTTTTATTCTCAAGAAGGTTAATAATATCTTTTATTAACCATTTTGATAGTACTAAAAAAACAAATTAATAAGGAGAATCTAGAAAAAACTCATTTCATTTTCATTAAATAAAAATACTAAGCAAAATAATCACTTTTATTAATTAATATTATATATTAATTCTATCAAGTAATTACTATTGCTGTTAGTTCACATAATATCCCATGTATATCATAATTATCTTACATTTTTAATCTTTCATAAAAAGAAAATAGTCTACATTGTCATTCTCAAATAGAAAAAAATAATAATAATAAAATCATTAACAAAAAAAAAAATTAATAATTTTAAGTTATTATTACAATAAAAAAAATAAAATATATATACATTTTTTTCAGTGTATTTACTTACAGTGCAGTTATTTTTTTTAATGTACTTTTACTGCATGTATTTTTTTTTTTTTTTTTTGTACGGGTATATGTGTGCACATTTTCACCACATTTTAACATGCAGAAATAAAAATTTTTTTATTTATTTTTTTTATTTAAATATTATTTAGAATAGGTGATACCATTATTTATAAACCAAAAGTTCTATATGTAATCTTTTTATTGTATTAGAAATTCAAAATAACAATTAATATCTTTTACTCACTAGGTATTAAATGGTTCTTGAAGATAGGCCTTAAAAAAAAATTTTATAATATTTCATCAAAAAAAAATAGTAAAAAACATACATGTTTTATATTACCCATTTATGTATATTTTGTATTTAATATATTTCCATTTGGATTCAAAGTAAGTTCATCACGATTTCAAAAAATAATGGAAAATAATTTTAAAGACTTAATTCAAGAAAAATATATAGTGGTATGTGCTGGTGATAATATCATTTTAAAGTAAAAAAAATATGATATTTTAAATTATTAAGATAAATATGTAAAATTCTCATCAATAGCTACATAGTAATAAATGTATAGAAGTGGAAATTTTTTGAAATATCAATAACATACATAGAACAAATAATAGATATCAAAATAATTAAAACTTCATTAGCTAATGTAAGAATAATCATTGAAGCTTAATAGCTTGTCTATAAATAATATTACAGACCTTACTTTTATAATATTTAGAAAAATAAACAAAAAAAAAATACTTCATTTTGTTCATACTAAGTCGCAGGGATAATATTCAATCATTGGTTAATAAAAGGCATTATTAACCTTTTTGGAAAATTAAAGGATTATTTAAATGAAGAATACGAAGTTAGTTATGCACACGCACACAAAAAAAAAAAAAATTGATGATTTTCTTTTGTTTGTACTTTTATTAAAAAAAAAGTACAAAGACTGTCAGAAAAAAAAAATATTTGATAAAAAAATGTAAAAATAATCAGGAAAAAAATTGATTAAAAAAAAAATTAATTTTTTAAAATATAAAAAAAAATAAAAAAAAAAAAAAAAAAAAAAGAGAATTTTTTTTTTTTGTGAAGTGAGGAATGAAATGAAATATTTTGGATGATGAATTTCGTAAAACAAAATTTTATACATATAACAATAAAATTTTCATGTAATTAATATTTATATAATTTATTTTGTTTTTGTTAATAATTATTTGTGTTTGTTAATTCAACAGCAATATAAAATAATTGCTGAATATAACTAATAATAAATAAAGTAGTAATTATAATTAATTAATAATTAATGTTAAATAAGTATTTAAATTTTTAATAAAAATAAGGATTTTTATTAAAGTAAATAAATGCCTATTGAAATAAAAGAATGCTGAACGAAGTAGATTATAATTAAAGATCACTCGTTCAAAGCAAATAAAAATATATACAAATACATCAAAACAATAGAAGCAACTTTACATTCTCTTTATTAATTTATGTGTTCAGTACTCTAGCAAAGTCATCGAACACCCAGTTAATAAAACAATACTCTAACAAAGACGTTGAAGATATAATAAATCAATGTAATCATCTCATGGTTTATTAATTGTCTCTTCAATGTCTTTGTTACAGTATTGAACAAGCATATTAATAAAAAGCAGGTAATGTTTTCTCTAGTAATTTAATGAATCTAAATTTAATTTTTTAATTCTATAAACCAGTAAACTGTATTTATACAGTATAATTCATTGAGCATTCGTCGTTTTTTTAAGAAGTGTTGATTTACTTTAATAAAATTTCTCATTTTTATAAAAAATGTAAATCCTATTTAATTACAGATTTTAATTAGATATGTTTCATTAATAATATTGTTAGTGATGTTTGGAAATTCAAATTCATTCCTCTCAAACTAACAAACACAAATAAATAACAGAATAAAAAATAATTATATAAAAACTACAAAATATGAAAATTTTATTATTGTTAATATAAAATTTCCTTATATATATTTAAATAAAATATATTACAAGAAACCTTTTCTTTCAACAATTATTTCTCCTATTTTTCCATACTATTAAATCAATTTTTAAAAAAAATAAATATATTTTTTTATTTATTTTAAATATATCAAAAAGAAAACAAAAAAAAATTAACAACTTTTTTTTTTATCTAGAACTTGCATGACTATTTATTTTCTATACAAATGTTACTTCTTATTATCAAAAAGGTTAATAATAACTTTTACTAACAGTATTTAGAGTATTTTTTTTTTATGAAATCTTAAAAATATAATGTTAGATATAATATATATAAAGTATTGTGTAAATTAACTGATATAATTATTAGTATATATTAATTAAAAAATGTACATAGTTTGCATAAGATTTTATTTCAATTAAAATAAACTAAGTAAAGTTTTTTCTAATGCTCTTTATTAATTTGTTTTTTCAGTACTATCAAAGTTAATAAACACGCAATTAATAAATCATAGAGTTACTGATATTGAAAACGGATCTTTTAAATAAATAAATATTTATTAATGAGGCAAAGAGATTTATATCCCATTCATAAAGATAAAATTGTTGTGTAACATAATCAATCTGATTTATTAGATATAACATTAAGAATTAACTTATGTAAATAAAAATTGTATAAAAAGAGTAAATCCTTACATACTAAAAATTAAGATATATTGTTATATTTATAAAAAAGGAAGCTACATATTTATTTATGAATAATTTTGAGTTGCATTAATATATAAAAAAGTAAAAAAAAGACTAAAAATTATAGAAAAATTTAAAAAAACATGATTCATAAAAAAAATTTCATAATTAATCCCTAAGTTGTTTGGTATAATTAATAAAAATGTGCATTAAGTTGCTTAAACCTGAACTTCGCATACAAAATGATGTTCTTTGAATTTAAAAGGAAAATGAATTAATTGTAATTTTATTTTTTTCTTTATATTATATTTATTTGTAAATGTCATTAATTTATTACAAAGAAAAAATAAAATAATAACTTATTTTTCTAATGTAACTTTTTTTTTTTTTATTTTTAAAATATCGTTATAGGACTCAGAAAAAAATACTTCCTTTTTAATATTTTTTTAATCACACAAATAAAAGAAATACAATGTATTTTTTTTTTTTAGTGTATGCATTTAAATGTGTACATTTCTCGAGTATTTTGGCATGTACAAATAAAATATTTTTACTCATCTAATTCTTTTAAATATTATTTAAAGTAGACCAATAATATTATTTATAGACCCGATATATAATTTGTTAATACTTTTCTAAGAATATAGTATTGTATTGAATACAAAAAGTAATTAAAAGCAAGTATATGGTCACTACTAATTTTTTTAATAAGAAAATACTTCTTGAAACTAATATGTAATCTTTACATAATTACATTTGTAACATTAAATAAATAGTTTGTTTTCTATAAAATTCATAAAAATTTAAATAGAAATTTATTAATTCAATATTTTTATTATTTTAACATATTAACTATCTTATTAGATACTTATTTAGATTTATAAATATTTTTCATTAAAAATACAATATGCATAAGAACCTTTTATCATATATTAAATTAAATATAACCAATGTTATTCCTATCTCGTAGAAAAAAATGCAATTCATTAGTAATTACTCATTAATTATCAAAAAATATTTTAAAAAAAAAATGTTAAGAAAAAAACATTAAATAAATACGAACAAATCTAATGTCACAAAAAAAAAAAAAAAAAAATGCCTTTTTTTTAATAATATGCATATATATACATCATTTTGACCCAAACTTGTATGGAACTTCCTTAACTATCTAGCATAAATAGATAATTTTTTGCTTTATTTTACATTACCATTTATAAGATTTAAAAAGTTTAATAATATTACATATTTACAAACATAAAACATACGAATAATGTGTTACACAAAGTACTAAGGCAAATAATAAAAATATAAAGATTATTTTTATTAATTGCTATATAAGGACTAAATATTAAATATATTTTTATATAATTAAACTTTAAAGAACTTAAACATTCATATCATTATAAAAAAATTATTTATGATAACAAAAGCAATTATGGTTACTCTACACGTTCTTTATTAATTTGTTCGTTAAAGATTCTTACATGAGTCTTGTACGGATAAATTCATAAATTTTTAAGTTAATTTTAATATACAATAAATATAAAGCTAACTTATATATATAAATATTATAGTAAAGTAATAAACTTTATTTTCTTTTATAACATCCATTTTTATATTAAAAATAGATTCATTTTTTAAAAATATTTATTTAAATTTTTAATAAGAGTCATATATAATAGTAAAAAGCATATTTTTATTATTAGTAGAATTTTCATATAAAAAAAATTTTACAATAATTTGTATTAAATAATTATTTTTTATCTTCTTCATGATATTTAAAATAAAAAGACTAAAAGTTGCAAAATTAATTTAATTATTTTACTGATTATATAAAGTATAACAATTTTTCTATGGTTTATTTTTTTAATACCAATGATATTTTATTCCTATAATACTATAATTTATACATATGAAAATGAAATAAGTTAAATATAAATATATTAAATTAACATTACAAATTTATTATTAAAATAGAAAAAGAATAGAAAAAACTAAACGTTTCTAATTAAAGGACTAATATATATATATATATATATATATATAAACAAAACTTACTCAAAAAAATGAATTTATATTATAGCATTTTTTCCGTTATAATCATAAAATAAACTAAAGAAAAATATACATAAATATTTGATTATTAAAAATATATACAGTGAAAAAACTATATGTATAGATAATTAAATTATTTGATGTATATGGTAGAAAAACCTTTTTTTAATTAAAAAAGTTACTATTTTACTTTTCTGATCATTTAGATGAAAAACAAATTATATTGTACATAATTCTCTTAGAAAAAATCAATAAAATGTTTTATAATAACTAAAAAAATCTGAATTGTCATTTTTTTATAATTATATAATCACTTTAATTTTCATGTTATCATTGTTTTTATTTTATAAAATTCAAATGTAATGTACTTTATCAAAATATTGAATTCATTAAGAATTTTGTTGCATCTTTAAATACTTAAATTGCAATTATAATTATATAATGTATGCTATGGTTTCGTACAATGTGTGTTAAAATTAATATTGTGTTTACATACAAAACTGATATTATTGATTTAAAGAAAATAGATATTCCTTCTATTATATATGAGGATTAATACATAATTTTTTTTTTTTTCATTTTTAATAAAGTTTTTTCTTGGTGTTTAATTTTTCCTTTATATATAAAGAAAATTTATATAATCATATATTAAAAGATTAATAACTTGTAAAAAGTTAAAATTTTTTTTTTTTTGATATTTTTATCTTTAATATAAAAATATAAAATAGTAATTTTATTTATATTAGGAATTATAAAATTTACAAATATATACATATATTCTTACTAAAAAAATCGCTTAAAAAAATTTTTTAATTTTCCTGAAAGAATATTTTTGTTATATTCCTTGTTGCAGCGTTTTATATTAATAGTATATGTATATATATATATATATTTTTATGTATACATATTTTATCTTACATGCAAATTTAAGAAAAAAAAAATTGCTTTTTGATTTCTAGTTATAAGTACATAAAATATATTTTTTTTTTTTTGTTATTTTTTTCTATTAAATAATGTCAAAAATAAAAATTTTTTATAATTATTATTATTTATCATAGAATGATTACAATTTTTATTTTCATATTTATATAAAAGTGGTATGTTATTTTTTTTTCTAATTATCTCAACCTTCTAACGGAAAAAATAAAATTAACTATAATACCATAAATATATTCAATTTATTTTAATAATATAAATTTTTTTTAAATATTGAATACTAATTAAAATTAAGAAAAATAAAATATGTTAATTGCAATATAAATAATATAAAATGAATAAGAAATAGTTATTTAACAAAATTATTTCCTTATTAAACATAAAATATTTTTATATGAATTTTTTTGACGAAAATTTAAAACTTTCATTTGAACAAATTTTATCTTTTACTAAAAACATATTTGAATTTAACAAATACATTTATATTTATTATAGAAGGTAGAAAAAAATATAAGCATTATAATAAAGTTTGCAAAAATTAATCATTATCACATATGCATTATTTCAATAAATAATATATTTTACTTGCAAATTTTTTTCATTATTTTTTCCTGTAACTTTTAAATTATAATAAATATTTTTAGTTAGATTAACATTCATTATTTATAGAAAAATAAAAAGTAACTTCTTAATAAAATATATTTTGTCACTTTAAAATTATAGAAATTGAAAATGGATAAGCAACTAAATAACTTATTTGGGAATTCTAATAATCCTGTAATGCCGAATTGCCAAAGTTACGAAATGGCAATGCTTATTGCAGTTATATTAGCTGCATTTACTGTTCTATTATCTTTACTTCCTATGTTTTATCAATCATCTAGTCTTGTAAGATAAAATAATGAAATTATATGTAAATTATTTTCATTTGGTAAATTTTTTATTTAAATGAAATATATCAGATAAAAAAAAAAATTTTTTTTTTATTTATTTTTAATTTGTTATATAGAATAGAGAGTTAAAAGAAATCAACACGTGGAATAAAAAACTTGATGAAAGTTTACATAGTAAAGATGGAGATGGCATAGAAACAATGGGTCCAGAATATTTAGTTAATCCAGAAGATGAATTGTTATATGGAAGAAAAAATGAAATTGAAGATTCAGATGAAGAATATGAAATATAAAATAACTATGGGAATTTTTTAAAATAAATATAATGTTTTATTTATTTTTTCATATATAAATGAATACAGAAAAAATATATCATATAACACATTTAAAGGTTCAGTTTTTTAAAAATTTCTAATTTCTTTAGTATGTTAATGGAATGATCAATGGATTTTATATATCGTTGAAAATTTAAATTAATAAAGAATTTAGAATTGTCCAAATTCACTTTTCTTTATTTTAGAAATACATTTGTAATGGATGAGCTTTATGTAATTACATTACCTAACATGAAATAAATAGCTTATTTTAAATGACGTTTATAATTTTATAAATAAAAATGATTTAATACATTTTTATTACTATTACAAGATAATTATTTTACAGAAGACATATATTTGTTTTAATAAAAAAAATTTCTTATTTTATTAATACTTTAGTCTTTATTGGAAAACCTTTGATTGCATATAAAGTAATTTTTAAAATTCAAATTTAATTATTTGTAAAAAAAATTAAACATTTTTATCAAATAATAATAATACAAAATAGATTATCAAAAAATTTTCCCATTTTTATTTTTTTAAGAATGTAAAAGAAAAAAAGAACATTTTTTTTTATATAAAAATTTATGTTATAATTTTTTATTGCTATTAAAGCATTGCTATAGGTATCCTTTGTGTGTAATTGATTCTTTATTTTATATACATATTACAAGTTATATTATTTAAAGATGTTATTAATACCTTTTGTTGAGTACGTCTTTATATTTTTCTTTAATTAGTATTCTATTAATGCTTAAAGAACTATATATTATAATTAATATTTAATTTATATGGTACTCTAAGAAAAATTAAACAAAATTATTAAATTTCTCTAACAAAAACAGTAGTAATTTAATTATATATATATATATACATGAGCCCATTATATGTATTGGTGTAATTATTATAAAAATAAAAATTTTTATTATTTTTATATAGATGTAATTTGGTATATTTCTCTTTATAAATAAATATAGAAATTAAGCTATATATTTTCTTAATTAATACTATTATTATTTTTAGAAATATCATCTCATGATTTATTAATTGACCTTTGATGTACTTTTTTAGTATAATGAATAATAAAACTTATAAAACGTGTATAGGGCCATCTCTACCAATTTTATTTATGGCAAAAGTTCTCATAACTAATATGTAATTTTTATATAATTTCTATGAATAATATGAAATAACATATTCCAGGACATTATAATTATTTATATAAAATATATTAATTTTCAATATTTTATTTATTCTTAAAGTACTATTTGTTCTATAAATAGTATTATCAGATTTTTTGAGTTATTAACAACACACAAAAATAGCACAGATTTTTAACTGCATATGTATAATATTTGAGATAATGTATGTATTTATATATAAAAAATATATGCACATATATATATATATATATATATATATATATATATATATATATATATATATAAAATTTTTAATGTAAAATTTTTCCATTTATTTTGGGGAAACTTTTTATCCTTTCAATTTTTTTTACAAAGGCGTTTTTTTTTATTGATAATTAAAAAAAAAATAAATAAATAAAAATAAATGATATTTAAGGATATTTTTTTTTCCTATAGAGTTGTGAATGGTTTTTAATAGTAAAGTAAAATGCATTTTTATAAAAAGAATTATATTTTTATAAAAAATAATTTTATTTATGGATATTTATTAATTGCCATCAAATGAGGTGTGTTGAATATGTTAAGATTATTCTTAGATTTTTTTTATTAACACGTATAAAATTTTCATTGTGTAAAAATATAATAAGACTTAATCTAGTACATATATTATTGTTAATTTTAAGAGTCATACAAAAGAAGACTATTTTATAATTAGTAAAAAGATTTAGAGAATATCCCACAAACTCTTTATTATTTTTTTTAAATCATTATTTATCAAAAGTAACTAAATAGTGGATTAATAAATCAATTAACGACAAAGTATTTTAATCTGAATGAGCATAATCAACTGAATTAGAAATATTCTATTATGAAGAGAAATATGTAGAGGTGAAATTTGAAAATTTTCAATGAAGCAGGAAATTTAAGTAATTCTCGTAAGTTCAATCAGAATAAAAATGACTATACATTTAATGTGAAAAATTATTGAGGGATTATCAAGTTTTAATTAAGTGTCCTTAGAAGGATATTTTAAATACCTATAATAATTTGAATAAAAAGTAGCATTGCTGAAGTGATCAAAAATTGAAGATTATATACTATGATTATATTATTAATGCTTATATTAGATACTTAGTAGTATTGTCTTCCTGTAGAAAAATAATAAATATGTTATAATTGAAAATCAAGTTATCTAGATATATGTTTACGGTTTAGATGGAAAATATAAGATGTATCACAATTTCATCAGCATAGAAACATAAAATAGAGTTTTTGAAGAAGTAAAATCATATATTAATAATTGCAGTATATATGTCTAGAGTTTTATATCTTTTAACGAATCTAATAACATCAATAAATCTTTGTACAAGTTTTAAACGAATATATCTAGTATATCTAAGACGTTAAATTGCACAAAATAAAATCCGAGAAAAAATATTCTTGCAGTTACGAAATATATGAAGGAATTAGAAAAAAATATATACTAAGAAGTACAGGATACTTGAAGTGAATATATGTTTTCTGAATAAATATAATGATCAAATGATGCAATATAATGTGACTCTATTTCTTATTAATACCGTTATAGCAAAAATAGTTATGTAAAAAAAAAAATCCATTTACCATAAAAAAAAGAGATGAAAAGTTCAATAAGATTGATCATTTAGTATTTGTATGTAAAAATAAAGTTTTAAGATGTAAAAAAGATTCATTACATGGTATAACCAATAAAATATAAAATATTAGTTTATTCCCATTTAAAATGAGATCAGCATGCAAAAATTACATTTAATTCAAATGTGTTCAAACAAGAAGATAATTTATTTCAAGATATGATTTATGAAGTATCTATTCAACAACTTTTATGATGTTTTTAATAGTTAATAAATAGCATGTAGAAAAATATTTGCTCATTTTGTTCACTGTAATATTAATTATAGCAAATATGGTCTATAAAAAATATTATAGGACAATTTTAAGTGATACTCAAAATAAGCAAAAATGTTTTTACTTGTGCATGTCAAAAATACTGGGGAAAATGTTCATTTCTAAACACTTACATTAAAAAAAAAGCAAAATCACAAATATTATTAAAACTGAAAAAAAACTATCGCACTAAATGTATATACAAAAAAAATAAAAAAATGCAATATATCTATTTTTCTTCTGAGTTTTTATAATAATGGCTTAAATTTTTTAATAAAAAAAATAATTGTTTTATTTTTTTTTTTTTTTTTATGTATGATTAAAAACGTAATGTTAAAAAAAGTAAATTTATAGAGTGCTATATAAATTAACTTAAATAATAATTAACTAATGTTATTAATATTTCATATTAACAAAAGTAAATAATCCACATAAAGTTTTAGTTTATTTTAGATAAGATAAGTAAATTTTTCTTTATATGCTCTTTATTTACTTGTTTGTTCAAAACAAGCAAAGTAAATGAACATATGACTAATAAATCATTGAGTAACAAATACAGGAATTTTAAAACCGATAGAAATATAACTGCATTGAATTTACAATTTAATCAAAATTAAAGAAAAAGTTGCAAATTTTGGATTATATATCTTGTAAGATATATTTAGTTTCTACAATTTTTATGTATTGAAGAAAAAGAAGGATAAGGAGTTTACTATAGTAAAAGTACCAGGACTACCAAAATTCAATGAGAAATCAATAGAAGTTTACTATGAATAGTTTTTAAATCTTTAAAAAAAAGAAAATTACTAGTATTATCTAAAAAGAGGATTTGTATTATACTAGAATTTTTGATGACAAAAATCCACTCATAATATACAGTTGATTTATCTTTGAAACCAGAAGTTAAAAATATTCTGCAATAAAAAATTGAATAATCTATATTAATATTCACTAATAATAATGATCAGTTCATACAATTATGTAAAATTTATAATTAAGAAAGAGAAACAAATGCACTAAAGGGCAAAGATAACTTTATCATAGACCATAAGGTATACATTTATAGTTGCTTGTGTTCTAATAAACCAATAGAGTATCTAGAAAGGACTTTTGCAAGTATATTATGAGGAAAATTTCAAGTAAATATTTTATAAAGATAAAACATGGCACAACAGTAAATTAAAATTTTATAAGAATTATGACTCAGATGTTATAATTATAAAATGAAGATTCAAATGTTAATGCATTACAAAAAAAATATCGTAAAATCAATATGAAATGAATATAAAAGAGAAAAGATAATAAATTTGACTAAAGTAGTAAATAAACGTTACTACTATAGAAAAAAAGTCAATCATAAGAAGGATTGTATACATAGAAATAGTAAATGTAATAATTGTAATATGACAAGTCATTTAGCATCAATATGTAAAAATAATGTAATCAAGGATTTAGAGAATGAAATTAGAAGCTCAATAATTGATAAAAAGTATAATGTTAGTTTTAAGTTAATTAAAAAAGGAACGGATTTAAAAAAGATTGAGTTAATGCGAATATATTTGAGCATAAAAAAAAGCGTATTTAAAAACAGAAGGAAAAGGAAAAAGAAAAACAGTGAAGTAGTAAACCAGAGGAAAAAGATGAAGAATTAAAAGAAACAATGGAACAAGAGAAAGACATAGGATAAATGAGTAAAAATGAATCATCTGTTAATATATTACGAAATGATTAGAGCATTAAAAGATTTTGTGTAAATTCTGAACAATCATTTGAAGGAAATAGAAAAAAAATACGCGTCCCATTAGATAATGGATCTTAGATATTGGTCAATAAGTTGTATTATAGATGTATTTTATATAATATCTAGATAAATAAATAGAATAAAAATAATTTATTTTGTATGTACTA